GAACAAATCTCACTGAGTTTTTTCTACAGAAAGTATTGATCCATTTGATCGATCGCCGTACTTTGAGAAAAGCTTGAAATGCAAAATTCACAGGAAAGATTGAAGAATTTCGGAGATAAAAACTGTTTGTCTTCGAGTTTCACCTGTTCACCCCCCGGTTGAGAAAAGTAACAATTACGTAATGTTGGAGTCACGTGACCAGCGTTTACCAGGGCTACGTCGCCGCCTTCAATTCGCGACTAGCCCTGGGTACGAGGTTGGCTCTTCAATTGGGACACTTTGGCACCCGTAACAATTTTCAAAGTTGATATAAATGTTGATAGAATAATTTTTCCTGCGAAAATTGCTCAACTTCTGCGAAATAGCATTTCTCTGAGAAGCCAAACAGATCTCTCCCTTTAATCGTGTAACCCAGAGCCTAATTTTCAACGAGTGACCGAGTAAAAATGGCTCTGGGGACGAGAATGTTAACATTCCGGCAATTTGTTGGTTGCTTTAACCAATTGTTTTTACAGTGAGAATAAAGGCTTATTCACCGAAGGCTTATTTTTGCCAGAGCAAAGTAGACAGCTAGTGCTTCGTTCACTTCGACATCGCCGTCGTCCAGCCAACCTCGCGTGCGAACGATTATGCATGAGCGCTGCGCGAATAGTGCTATACTAGACGTGCGTTGTTACCTCCTGGGTGTCACAACCAACAATTCTGCATCCGGGCAGTTGTTCACGCCTGCCAATCTTGCGTTCGATATTTTGCCAGAGCAAAGTAGACAGTACTTCGTTCACTTCGACATCGCCGTCGTCCAGCAGCCAACCTCGCGTGCGAACGATCGCAACTCCGCCGAAACCATCTCCATCCCAAACTAGTGATTAAAAAAGTGATTAAGAATAAGTTCTTTGAATGTTTGCATGGCGATAAAATATAATTGTTTTTGTTTGTGGAAACACCACGTAAATTTATTACTGCGAATGCAGTAATAACTTTACGTGGTGTTTCCACAAACAAAAACAATTAAGTGATTAAGAGTTTTATACAACCGGCCCCTGCAGTCTAAAGTTCAGGGGCCGGTTGTATAAAAAAGTGATTAAGGTAATTCCGCAGTAATTGTTCCCGAAATGAGAATGTGCTGAAATTTCCCAGGCATGGAGTTTATGATATACTTAAACTAAAATCGCACAAAAAAGTCGGGGTCACCGAACTCGTTAAGAAGATATGACAATCACAGTATACCACCTTCACCCCAATATGGCGCCATCTTGATGCTCATTACGAGTAACAGCAAAATCACAACAGCCCGATATTTATTGACGTTTTTAGCCCGGATTTTGCTTTAGTAAACCTATCTTGTAAATATTTTTGAAAAAATATTGTTTTTTTAGCAAAATGAAACTACTAACGTGTACAATTCTGATCCATAAATGTCTTTTCCACATTTCTTTACATATCTTTCTTTGAGAACATGCATTGATAAAGCATTTCTTTTTTTCAAGATGCAGAAATGATTTTTCTTTTAATTTCGGATATGAAATGCAAAATGGCGTTAAAGAAATAAATTATCAGTTAAAAAACGGGGGTCACCGATCTTTTTAGGGAATTGTGGCATTAAAACGTGAAATACAAGTAAATAAGTATACAACAGACACAGGGAACGCTAGCTACACTTTTATATGCCTTTTTTGAAAACATTGATTTTAACGTAATTCTTTGCACGAATGTAACCAAAGATGTTTTGAAGTAAAGTAAAATGGTCATAAAATGATTTTTTTTAAACGGTACGTATAATGTATGAAATTATAAGTTATACTATGTGCGCAGTAAAAGTGCGCAATGCAAAACTTAAATTTAAATCGCACAGTGTGTCTGGGCTACCTATGCTATGATTAAGTGCAAACGTCATCCAATAAGAAGCGCCTACTTGAGAGTTAATCACTATTTAACTACAAAATAGTGATTAAAAAAGTGATTAAAAGTTTTATACAATCGGCCCCACCAATCACATGAAGCAGCGTTTCAGGTGAGGACCAGAAAGATCAATCGGATGTTGATGATAATCCCCATTTTGATAAGTCTGATTTCGTGTTGGAAGTATGTTATTGATATACCACAGGGACCGCGGAACAGGGGGGGCATGCTTCCCACTTTTTCCGGTGGATAATAAAAAATTACCGGATAAAATACAGCCTGCCTGCGCAGTGGAATAGCTCCCGTGCTATCCTGCCTCCCTCCCCCCCCCCCACACACACACTTTTAAACAGGCTCCGCGGTCCCTGTACCGGATGGTGAAATTAAAAATGTTTTTCGAAAGTTTGCTCTGAACGGATAACCGCAAAGAGTTGAATGTGGAATTATTGATACTGAAAAGGAAAGAGCAAAATGAGGTTGTTTTGAACTCTTCAAGTACGTCTTTTGTGTCTTTGTAAATGTCATACTGTATGTTCTTGTTGGTGCTCGATAGATTGTTAATATCTACGATTGGTGAGTATTTTGAGCTGATCGAGAAACAGTTTGACATTGCCGGCAATGGCATTGGATAAATTATTCAGGGTTTATTTTAACGTGCAGTTCTACACAAAATGTACAGTTCTAAACCCATTTGTGCAGTTCTTAAATCACAAATGTGCAGTCACCAAACTAACAAAAATAGCCTTAATTAAAACAGTCTTCTCATCTACTCGTTACCCTTGTGGATGCTCCAGACAATTCCAGAAATGCTGTCATTAATTGAGCATCAAAAATATAAACGATTTCTGGGGGAGGACTCCAGACCCTTGTATTTTCCTCACAAAACACTTACGTGCTGGGGTAATGGAAAAGAAGGTGAAATTGGGGCGAGCGAAGCTCCCCAAAAGAGATTAAATAAGAGAGAGATAAAATTTATGTGTGGAGATAACATGTTGCTAATGGTTGCAGAGACAGGAAGTTCCAGCCATTTTCGGATATCGATATATTTTGACGCAATATATAATAATAATAATAATAACAAAAGCATTTATTTAAACACGATAATAATATCACAGCATAGCTAATGTGATCGTGTGACTAATACTATACATTATAACTAACTATAAATAATAAAATGTGGCTAATCTAAATTATTATACATTTAATATGTATTCTCGTTTCTAATTGGTCAGAAAGCATCGGCTAATATTCAGTATTCGGCATTTATTACGTATTTTCCGCCGATGACGTCATCAGCGTCCAATAATTGTTTTTTTGGATCGAACTTGCATCCAAAAAAAAAATTATTGGACTCTCTCGTGCCCAAACCCCTGCGCGGCCAAAGGCTTGAACCTATAGCTATAAGCGCGCGAAAAAAACAAACAAACAATGGCCTACAGCAGATTTGCTTCGCTGAATGAAAGTGAACTCTCCAAATTATTGGCAGATAAGGATAGTGAAAGCACGAAAAAGCCACAAAGGGGTAAATAGAAGTAGAAATAGAATATTTAACTGACCTTTGACTTTGTGCAATGTGTTTGATATTCAAATTGTACTTTTCCTACCTCATGAACAGGAATCGTTTTATACGTTTCTCATGTCTTTAAATGTATAATAAAACAATTATTGGATTCGGTTTTCGCATGATATCAAGAATTATTCACACCTCGGTCTATGTTATCCGCCTCAGCTTCGCTTCGGCAGATAACATTGACCTCGGTCTGAATAATTCTTGATATCATGCTCAGCCTCATCCAATAATTGCTTATTAATATTTGACATAATTACATTGCAACAGAAATCATGTTACTTTGACGACACCACAGACCAGTGGATGACACAGTGACACTAATATATGATGACGTAAACGGATTCCTGGAACGAAATCTACAAACTACTTACTATGGTTCTTTTTATGTATGTACATTGATGTAATAATGACTATCCAATTCATTTCAAGCAGTGGCGCTGCCAGCTCGATAATTGGGAGGGGGGGGGGGGCGAATATTCATATATATTTACACCATAAAAACAATCGATTTCAAAAGTTGATAATGCAGAACACGAAGATATGAATATTCGCCCCCCCCCCCAATTATCGAGCTGGCGGCGCCACTGAATTTACAAGATACTGAGGGTCCTGAAGGGGAGGGGGGGTCCCAATCCCATTTCCCACCTGAAATTTTGGCAAAATCCCAGTCCCAGTTGGATTTGTATTAGAAATCCCAGTCCCAGTTATTGAATCCCAGTCAATAAAAAACCCTTTATTTATCGGTAGAATAAACAGTTTTAAGACCTTTTAAGCAAGTGGCGGATACTTTATGAAATATTAGGGGGTGCTCATGTCGAAGGCATGGAAAATTTTTAAATTTGAATCCCGGAAATGGCATTTGCAGCATTCTGAGACACGCATAACCAGAAGACCCAGAATTCCGGGCGCCAGAGTATGCCTGTTCGCAGGTAGTGCTGTGAATAATATAATTAACAACAAAAACCATGACCAAAGATACCAAAAACGGATCAAAGTTGTATTTTAAAATACTCAAAACGCAGAAAAATTGGGAATTGACTCGCATTACCTCAATCCCATTCCTATTTTTGAGGACTTCATTTCCCATTCCCAGCAACCCAAATCCCATTTTCCCAGTCTAAAAATAGATCAATCCCAGTTCCCATTTTACCTCTTCAGGGCCCTAAATTTTTCGAATACCACAGACCACAATAGTTTTTCCGCATTATTATTATTATTATTATTATTACAAAACCGTTGAAAATTTCAGCTGCTTGTAGTTACTTAATCATGTTTTCCTCGTCTTTTAAATGTTTCCTGCCTGATCGAAAACAACTTTCGTTATAGCTTCCGAGTTTCGTTATATCTTCCGAGTAACATTTAAATGCTCAGTAAATTTTGTCTCCGCATTTAATTTCAAGGGGGTTTAAACGTAAACTATTGCAAAAAGATATTGTTTATAGTTTGAACACACCTTAAATTCTGGACTTTAGGTCTGGTGTTGTCCTCTTATCAGTTATCAAAATTTCGCACGTATTTTCAATTAATAGAGAGGTTAAGATACCCCGGTTTCGGTGTACGGGTACGAGTAGTGTCATCTTGTTATACTGATGTCTGTAATTCGATCATACTTTGCAATAGACAATGATATAATGCGAAAAATGTGCACCTTAATTACGAGTAAAGGTACAGACATCGACGAAAATATTGCTAACCAAAATCATGCTACCCGTACACCGAAACCGGGGTATCTTAAACTCTCTATTATTATGGCTATTTTACGCCCTGTTTTTTTTTGTGTTTTTTTATTGCCCATATATTATAACATATAAATATTTACATAAAAAATAGATTAATGTTATGGTAGGGGCCTACCAGAACCTTAACAGGCTTTTATTTAAGACCCCTATAGTTATAAAACTTAGATGCTAGTTCTAACTACAGACTATACAGTCAACCAAATTTAAAATATATTACAATAAGTATTATATAGTTAAAAGAAAAGAAAGAGAGAAAATGTAAAAGCTATTTACAGCATAAAGTGTTAATTACATTCATGCACGTATTATTTGATTAATTACTTGATATTTGAAGGAAGTGTTCTTTCATGTACTATTTAAAAAACGAGCAGGAGTGTTTTATTAGGTTTAAAGCCCCGAGCGCGCAGCGCGAGTGGCTTTAGACCTAATAAAACACGACCCGCGAGTTTTTTAAATGACTTCAAAAACGTAAGCATAATACGTCATATCTTTATATAAAAATCTTTATATAAAAATCTTTACATAAAAATCTTTATATAGTTTGCATAACAATGGTCTTTTGTTAAAGTGTTCTGTAGCTGGTATAAAGACGTATGCACGCGACTAATTTCTTACTCAAGATTGGATAATTGCTTCATGAATTATTAATGAATTTTTGAAAGTATTTTGAAAGTGTTACAAATAAAATATTTAATAAAATATTTGCAAAGCTCACGAGCTATCTAGTTGAAATAAACTACAAAATCTTGCAAAAATGAAATATATTTGCAAGAAATCAAGAAATGTTTGCTATTTCGTTGTCGTCATGCAGTCGTTATATACTGAAATGCAAATTTTGATTTTGACGCACGGTCACCCACGCCCGCGATCATTGATGAACTTTAGGCTTTGCTTGTGCTTTCCTTTCCCTGGGGGAAAACATAGGCGTACGGGGCTGATGCTTTCCAGTGGGGCAGTTGAAAGTTTGCCCTAATTTATTTGGAGGATCGTAATGAAATTACCTGAATTTAACCTGTTTTGTGATAAATCTGCCCGAATTTTCTTGATTTTTCCTAGCATTTGCCCGAATTTCCATGGTTTTCCAAAATTTTTTTTTTGGGGGGGGGGCAGACCCCCCCCCCTGTCTCGTACGCCTATGGGGGTAAATAACCAGGCGGAATTAGTACCTCGCCTCGGCCTTACGCCCGGAAAGGAGCGCTCGGAGATGATTGTTGAGGAAATTCTCGAAGAAATCTTTGCAAGGGTTAGGCCCGGTTTAGACGCCGAACTTTTCATGAGCCGAACTTAATACAATGAATTAAGCACATGAGAAGCACGGCGTCTAAATCAATTAAGCACTGCACTTAATATTAACTGAAGCACATGTTGATTTATACTGCCGTGCTTTACATGAGCCGTACCAAATGCATAAATTACGATAAAATAGAACATTTATAGTACGCGAGCGTTGATTGATCAAGAAACGTGTTTCTACACGGGAAATTTCCCGCCTAAACTTACAATCGTAAACAAAACAATTTTAATGCAAATTAAGAAACGTTAAAAACAATTTTAACTACGCAGCTCATTTTGTTACTATTACAGTCAAAATACAAAAACCTTCCCACTTCCGCATATAGCTTGTTTTGTATTTCGGTAATTTGTTCTATTTTTTTCCTGTAGTGATTACCGATTTATCGGCAAATATCGCGGTAGAATTTCCCTTTCTTTTCTTTATATACGTCAATTTGTAGCAAAGGATACACCTTTCGTTAGATTCTTTGCATAAAAGTTGCGAAATTAGGCTTATAGCGATATTTGCTGAATGATAAAGGCAAAAAGAGGTAATCGCTACAGAAAAATAGGACATATTACAGTAATACAAAACAAATCACAGAAGCGGAAGTGGGAAGGTTTTTGTATTTTGACTGTAATTTTCAAACAAAGTTCTTTCTTGCAGTGAAATTGATGGAGCAAAGGTCGGCATTATTACGTAATGAGAATTTGTAAATATATCGAGTCTACTACAAATCTTTTTTTAGTTATATTATGAAATAAATATAAAACATTAATTATTATGTCTGACCCATACAGTTATAGAAACACTTGCAGTAGTTGGGAGAACTCGAATAACGTGGAAAACTCGCCCTAAGCCTATAGAGTATAGATCTCGTTTTCCCACACATTATATCCAGGCATTATGCTATGTTTGTAGTAACAAGGCTTGTCAAAAAGCAGTCGAAATTTTTAATAACCGCAAACCTGTAGACGCTCAGAAATGCCAAGATTGTATGTGATAAACCCTTTTTTCTTATTATGAAATGTCACTCGCCCCAGGTTTCGAATATATAATAATAATAATAAAAAACATTTATATAGCGCACAAACCAAGACTGTTCTTCGAAGTGAACCAGCGCAAATTATAAAGTACGGCTCATGAAAAGCACGCGTGTTTAAATCAAAATTAGAAGTACGCCTATTTTACTCGAGTAAAATATGAATTAAGTTCGGCTCATGAAAAGCACGGCGTCTAAACTGGGCTTTTGCAGCTGAGTGCTCTTTGCAGTACTGAATCGAGTTAGCTAATCCAAAATATTATATTACACATGCACTGTACCATAAAATATTTCTGTCCGTTGTACCTAAATGATTTCCTTTAGAAAGGAATTGTCTTAACGGTAACAGGCACTTCATGTCATTCATATAACCCACCGGGTTTCACTATAGCACCTTTACCAATATTCTGACTCATACTTATCCGTGTTCTTACACTACCATGTATACCAACACAGTGGTTGTGGTATGTCTTCAAGTATTCACACGGATTGAGAGGTTTCTTTTTCATCCGATTTTTTAGTATCCAAATCATTCTGTTATCCGACCCCATGACATGCATATTATAATCGAACTCGGCCAGAACAGAATCATCTAAACGTTGTGTAAGCACAAAAATATAGGTATCGTGTGAACCGACATAGCTTACTCCACAATATCCACGTTTTCCGCCCATATTGCATCTTTTTTCCTGACGTCCATGGCGTGTTAAGGCGTAAGATATATTACTTTTTACCAGAAATGTTTTATTTATCATTTCAAATCCTTCGCCAAGATAAATATCCATATTCGTTAAAACCACAAGTTGATTTTGGAGTCTGTCGTTTACGTAATCGAAAAAATCTCTGTATTTAGGCAAGGCGTTGATGCGATGTACAAATATTTTGTGTTTGTTATGAAAATTTTGTTCGCTCAATCTTTGTTCGGCTGATGGTTGATTAACGAGAAGATGAACAGCTGTGACTAAAGTGTGGTTGAGATTTTTTTGTAATGTTTCTTCTATCTCTTCCTGTCGTTGCCATAGTCTGGATCTGCGGGTGTCTGTTTGGTTTTCGTTCCAAGGTTTTTCAGTCATCAGTGGATAGTTAGTTATTACATGGATTCCTGATTCCTCCTTCTGAGGTGGAACGTTATAACGGTTATTCAAAACAACTTTTAGCCAGGCAAAGCCGTGTAAGGTAAAAATCGCTCCAGAAACCAAAAATAACTTGAAGCACACTCTCCGCCGTTTAAGTATGGCCATTCCTTGCAAGATTCAGGATAATTACTAGGGACGTATTGGTTTGATTTACCAAGTAAAGACTTATGATCCTTTTCTTCAAGATATATCTTTCACATCAACCTAAATATACATTATGAATTTTTTAACACAAATTAAATATTAACCTTCTAAAATGAGTTCTGTTTTCTTATTTCAGTACGTTGATTTAGTTATATTTATATGTTGTCCGATTATTTGTTCCTAGACCGCGAGCAGTCGGAAAAAAGAAGGGACCGCCGACAGCACAAGAAACGAAATACGCCCACTTTTTGCTCTTGTCAAGTTGGCTCCGCCTTTTCATAAACTTTACTTATATCCAATTAAATCTATACAATAGGAACCGTTAATGTCATGTTTATTTATAAAATCAATATTAAGTCTGGAAATTATTTATAGCATAATTACTACCATTCCCGTACCCCGAGCCCTTCTTACGCGCGGTCAACGGAGCGCGACGTTTTACTGCTTGTTTTCAAATTCCATAACAGAACTGAAAGATGTAAAAAAGCCAGGATACTTAACGTCTAAGCACTGACACTGGTCTGCGTAAAATATGGCAAAGCAAGTGAGCTCGGTGTACGTCAATCAGAGCAAAAGAAATCATAAGTAATTTTTCTATGTTCACTTTAATTAACCACCCCGAAGTTGATGAAAAAAGACCACCAAGTATACAAAGTTTAAAGACGTTCACATGAATACCCTTCGAATAATAAATATTGTGAAATTACTGATTAAAAGATTACAATACATTTCATAGTAAATATTACGATTTTCGAAAGCTTATTATTCGAAGGATATTCATATAAAAATCTTCAAACTTCGTATACTTACTAATTTTAAGTTGGTCTTTTTAGTGATTTGGTTCATTTCTTAATTTGGGTACTTTTTAACACTCGTCCCCAGTCCACTCGTCAACTTCGGAATGGCTAATAGTGTCAAAAAAGACTTCCCATGCAACGGTATTTGTCCATTTCTAACATCGCAATCTCTTTCATCTCAAACACACATTGTTTTGTATCAAATTTTGCCTTTTTCCGCCGGATAGTGGATTTAAACTACCTCCGGGCCTCGGATAAATTTATCTAACGGATAGTGCATTTTTATCCGTTCGATAAAGCTAATAAAGTTTCGTACAACGCGATTTTCACTCCGGTTAAAATTTATCCTCTGGATAGCGACTTTTTTCTCGTTTTTTTTTTATAAGTAATTTATGAGGAAAGCCCCTCGACCGAAAGGTGCTTTCCAAGGAGGTTCTCTATTAGAGGTGCGCATTGGATCGGATTGGACGTTTATAATCCGACAATTGGCTAATGTTTAAAATCCAATCCGATCAGAAATTGTCTAATCCGAATCCGATCCGAGTTTTGATAAAGAATTCCGATCCGAAGAATCCTTTAATAAAATAAATTTCTCATTCAAGTGGAAATATTTAACCAAATAAATATAAAAGCAAGAAATACACGTTAAGAAGCTGACAAAGTGACGTCCAATTGAAGTATCAAACGAATAATGCATCGACAACCGCGTTGTCGTTGATAGTTAATTCATTTTATTTCGAATATTAACGAAGTCCAATCTGATCCGACAACGAAACAACTTTATCAATCCTATCCAATCCGTAATGAATATTTTGTTCCGAAATCCGAACGAATCGGATCGGATTTGCACACCTCTAGCGGCAGACACATATACATTTTCACGTTTGTTTATGTAAGGTATGGGTCATCTGTAGCGGACATGCGCAGTAACAGTGAGATTGAGACAGCATGTTGAGATTCTAGTTTTGGGTTGTTTTTCGACTGATTTTACGTGTAATAACTTTTATTAAATTGTTATAATACAATTCGTCGTATTGTTATTACACTGGTGGCAGTTATGGGATCGAACAAGACGGTTCTTCCGGAAAACAAGTTCTCAGGAGAGGAGGATATTCGAGAATTTCTACGCGATTTTGAAATATTTGTTGCTGTGAAGGAATGGTCGGATGTGAAAGCTGGGCAATATTTGGCAGTGTTTTTGAAACTAAATTGAAAGATGATGCGAAGGCATTTTGTCATCAACAATAATCGGACACGGTAAGGAAGAGTTACAAAGAGCTTTCACAGGCTTTGAAAGAGAGATACGAGGGGGAACTTGGCGTTGTTAAAGTATAAGAAAGAATTTAATGCCAGAAATAGAAAGGACGGTGAGACATTACAGTCTTATTTGTCGGATTTGAGATTGTCGTACGAAAGAGCATACAGCCTACCTATAGTAGATCCATTGCCTGTGGATGCAAATGCAGATCGGAAAATAGAGCATGCCCAGCAAGAAAGAGCTTTAGTTTTTTTCAACAGAAGAAAAGATGTCGATATATTATGCCAATTTGTAAATGGATTGGGGAAAGAGCTGAGAGAAGTTTTGATACGTCAAGATAATTTACTCAAGAAATCTGTGGAAAGCGTCCTTAAGCAAATATCCACCTTGGAGGAAGAACAAGGTGTTACCAGAAAAATTTCTGCTGCACAGAGAGCAGGAAAACTGCAGAGTCATGTGGACGGTGCACAAAATGTAGAAGAAGTGGCACAACAACAACCCAGTCTGGAAAACAAATTAGATTAAATCCTCAAAAATCAGCGTACATTCCCAGTTGCAAGGAAACAGAGTCCAGGGAAACAGAGTCCTGGTCCCAAACCCTCCGATATCTGCAGGGCATGTAACGGTCGTGGACATTGGGCACGCAACTGTCCTTCTTTAAATGAAGGAGGGGCTGGCCGCAGACCCCCGGTTCAGCCCTAAAGAGTCAGAAAGGGGTCATGTACCCATATAGATGCCCCATGCAACAAACTAAGATTAATACAGTACAGACCACCAGAGCACAAAGGGGAAGCTATCATGTGGAAGGAATTGTGAATGGGCTCAGAACAAATTTTCTGGTAGACACTGGGGCAGAAGTTAGTTTAATTTGTGCAACTGTTCCAAGTTCAGAAGTTAGAGAATCCTGCATAACACCAGTTTCAATAACCAACCAACCTATTACAATTCAAGGTGAAACTGACGTGAATCTTAGTTTAGGGTCGTTATATAAAAATTAGTTGGAAATTTTTGGTTGTGGACAACCTTAAAGAGTCGTTTTGGGAGCAGACTTTATAGAAAGTCATTATATTACTTCATGGGGTATTGCAGATAACAAATTGCGGCTTGATGACGTAGGGATACCACTAATGGGCATCAAAAACGTTGGTATGGTGAGAGATGACAACCACTCACCAGTGGTAGCCAAATGCACTGTGGAACTACCAACTCTAGTTCATGCATTTATAACATCACGGCTTGACTATGGTAACTCTTCTTACTATGGACTACCTAAGCGGCTGATCCAAAAACTTCAAAGTGTGCAAAATTCAGCGGCTAGATTGGTAAACTTATCTAAACGATATGATCATATCTCACCAATTTTGAGGGAATTGCATTGGTTGCCTGTGGAACAACGAATCAATTTTAAAATTATTCTCTTAACTTTCAAGTGTTTGCATGACATGGCACCATTGTATTTAAAAGAATTAGTTAGACCATATGAACCAAAAAGAACGTTAAGATCATCCTCAAAGAACCTTGTTGATACAACTAATTTTAATCTACGTACATATGGTTTTAGAACGTTTTCTGTTTCAGCTCCAACATTGTGGAGTGCATTACCAGACAGAATACGGAACTGTCATAATATTGAAATTTTTAAGAAACTTCTTAAGACACATCTTTTTAGCATAGTTTTTAATTAGTTATTTTGTAAGATCTCCTCTTAGTTCTTAGTTAGGTTACATATCTTGTAAAGCGCTAATGGACTTTAGGGAATTGGCGCTATATAAATAATTCGTATTATTATTATTATTATTATTAACTACCAGCTCGGCACCAAGCAATAATCCCCATGCATACTAAAGATAAGAGTCGTAAAAGTGGTTTATTTGAACCAACTAAAACACCAGGTGGAGTATTATTGAGCAAAACAGCAGTAGAAGGAGGAAAAGATGGAAGTTTTTGGGTTCGAGCTGTAAATTTGACTTCTAATGCGGGATCATTTCAGAGATCGAGGACATGTCAGAACCACTTCATCTTAATCCAAGGGAAGATTCTATAAAATCAACACTAACTTCGTCAATTGTAATGTGATTGTAATGTATTCATGCATCTGTAAAATCATGCATAGTCTTTCCTCGACATATATTAGATTATGCATTATCAAAATTTTTTGGAATATTCTACAAGCATTCGAAGAATGTGACGCTTGGGCGCAAAGCCAATATCGCTGCTGGTATTATGATATATTGTTACAAAATATAAGGAAAATCGGTCTCTTAGTTTCCATACTTCATAACACAGTATAGGGCAAAGCGCTAAAAACTATAATGATTATTTTTTCTTTTGATATGATCGATGACCGGAAAAGACCGATATTAAACTAGAAGTTTGAGGTTAAACGTGACACATGAGATATAATTATATACTTTGCTATCTGCACTAGCTGGCATGCATCCAAAGTTCGAGATAATAAAATAAGTAGCCCAGATATAAAATAGCCTAAAGACAGGGAAAATAGGTCAAAATATATAACAGAAATTGAATCTATTCTTACTTGACGATTTATCATGCAGAACTTTACTATATACATTATATAGTTCTTTCAAATTTAGTTATACGCTTTGTAACATTTGAGTAGAAATGGGAGCATCATTTAATTAGTTTAGAAATCATACATATGGGCCCATTTCTTAGAGACATGGTAAATATCTCCTTATACGAGAACAATTCATTCACAAATAGCTGCAAAATTCAACTACTAGCTTGAAACTTGTACTCCCATTAAGCTTTGCGCGCTTATAGTTTGAAGATTAAGTTTTAAAGTTTAAGGTTTTCAAAGGACAATCTTTCTTGAATTGGCTGCATGTTCGTCAAGTACTACCTAACAAGCGTAAAAAATGTCATACCAATCGAATTTTCCTTCGCGAAACACTTCCAACATGACTCTCTTACTTTATAGTTGCGAATTTATTCCGAATAGTTAATCCAGTCAAATTTAGGTAATTGTGTATCTGAATTTTTTTAGAAGAAATACAGGATATTGAGATATAGATAAGCTAAAATTAAACACAATGCTATAATGCAGTATATCAATATCTATACACATGCCTTATCAATGTTCGTTACGCATGATGGCATGAACTATTTTCCAAAACGTTCAATCCTACATTTAATTGTTGCGAGTTTATTGGAAGCCCGTAGATTAAAAGTGAAAGAGTTTTCAATTTGGATTAGGTTAGATAACAATGAAAACTGGAAAAGGACGTTTTTGTTAAAAAAGTTTGATTCACGTCTTGCAGCCAAGGTTGGAAGCTCAAACGCTGCTGAAGTGTCGCTGTATGAAAGGGTTGGTTAAGTTATTTTGAGAGTTCTTGATTGGATTCTTTTGATATCATTCGTTAAATATCCAGGAATGCTATATAGTGCCACAGTCGAGCATCATAGTACTCTACAACTAGTCTCACACATGTGATATGAGAACACGAAATCTATAGTTGGTTAACTAGGCGGGGGTAAATTTAAATTTACTTTAATCTATGTGGATGTAAAATATCGTACTTATATAAAATATAGTACTTACCAAGAACCAAGAAGCAAAAGCAACACAGCTATCAACAATACTTTGATATTTTTCGCTCTCCGAGAGTGATATTTTACAGCAAGATGCGAACCCTTCTTTCCTGTTCTCTGCAAAAACACAACTAAACAATTCCCACTCAACACCAATGAAGCAACGCAATATTTCCCGCAGTTATAATAACTATTGAAATTTATCCACACACTTCACAAAAGGCAAGATAAAATTCCTTGTTAATTCCTCAGTTATCAAACCACCTTCGCACTGCTGTTCGTACGTAATGTAAACAAAAAAATTTATTGTGTTGTTTCAGATGCTGCGCGCAGTGATTGAGGATGTGGTCAAAATCCCCAAATATTAGATCTGTTTCCAATAATTTTTCGCACTGGGTTAAACAATCAGTAAATTGGCTGTCTCAAATTCATTCTGAATTCAAAAGGATCAATTTATTCCTATATCTCAAAGTTAATAACCCTCAGAAATGCTTATACGCGTCACGCAATTTTCAATCCATCAAAACATTACGTATATTATGCAATAGAATGTATAGGATACATGTAAGTCAAATACCCATTGCCTTGACAGTGACGTGACGTTCTGACTTCTAAGTAAATTTGGAAAAATAAATAAACTGATTTGAAATTGTTGAGGCACTTCAATACACTTAGGGGCCGATTACATGGAGAATTTTCAACCCCGGGGTTGAACTCAGCCCTGTTAACCGGGTTGAAATTTTTTGCGATTACATGGACGATTTCAACCTCGGGGTTGAAACGCTATACTATACGTTCTCGGCATCGATTCCTGGAAGTAAAAAAGCCTTCATTTTGTCTTCATTGTGTAATAAATAGTCACTACCATGCATGCTCGAATAACTCATGATAATTTCAGGTTGAAAATTTTGTCATGTAATCGCGCGTTTGATTTTGATAGAGTTTTGTATTACAGACAGGGCTGCAATTTCAACCCGGTAAACAGGGCTGAGTTCAACACCGGGGTTGAAAATGCTTCATGTAATCGGCCAAATTTTCTGCATGTGAGTGGTTGAACTCGCCAATTTAGTTCTTCGTCAATTTTATAAACTCGTCAATTTAGTTATTTCGTAACTATACAAAGAGTTTAATAAACCATTTATGGTGCGAATTTCACTATTTTTTCCAATGCAATTAATTCTGAATTCAAGAGATTAATAAATTTATTCCCATGTTTTATCCAAATTGTTTATATCCATGGACATGCACATTGCATTGCTTCCTATCATGCAAGACAAATCCAAACACTAAAAGAGAGTCTATAATGAATATGATTTAGATATGATGTTAGCGAGAAGCCCAATATTAAACAAGAGGTTTGATCACAAAGTTAATTATACTTCAAACACTCATTAATAATTCAATAAAGAAAAGACAGAGGAAATCAATACCATATCGGTGGTTTTATATCTGATAGAAATCATGTAAACTTTAGCTTTGAATTTCTCGACTTAGACAACGTTTATTTTTAAAATTACTTCGCCAATAAACTCATGAGATCGCGGGGTCGTTTTTAAAGCCATTTAAAACACTCGCGGTCCTGCTCATGTTTTAAATAGTAGATAACTGACTATGTATGCAAGTGCTTGATCTCAACAATTCGATTCTCGAGTATATAGATACCGCGTCTCTTATATGACTGGTCGGCTATACTCCTGTAGCCAATGCTTTATTATTTTGTGAAATCGGCTTTTCTACTGGCTATACAAACTTCACTTGCATGTTCGCTAGTCTAGTTGATATGACTTGTTAAGTGCAGTTCTATGCACTTAATTGTCTTCGTGTAAGTGCTTGATCTCAAGTGCATGCAGAAGACACTTGATATCTAACTTGATTCTCGTAAAGATATTAGACCAACCTTCAACGCATTCCAATTTCTTATCATGAAATATTCAACAAGCGTGAACTTACTACAATATATCATGCAGTTATCAGGTATATGTGTCTGAATTGCCTATAGTAAATAGTTTGAATATGTCGGTGCGTGCTATAAGATAACATTGTTATAACAAAGAAATCATTTAGTCATTTTCATTGGTAACATCATACCATATCAGTGTCGCTAGCAATTTTGTATGCAAAGACTGTCATAATTATCGCGCGGCTGCCAGTTGGCCCATGTTTACCTTGACATTCTATATGTGTTTCTGCGTTTTTAGTGCTATTTTGCATAAAAAGACTCATTGCTGAATAGTGAATTATGAAAGATGGAATCTCATTCTTGAATGTTCTTACTCGCAAAACTGGCATTCGTAGGTGTTACGCTGGATATCTCCGGCGTAAAATGTTATTGATATTTTACGTCATCGGCGGACGTGCGGAGCAAGTGAATGATCACCTGATCATCGGCGGGGCGTAAAACGCCGTAAAATTCGTAAATTATGAAGATTGAAGAATCTTAATCTGATGAAAAATAATACGAAATTGTTTATTTATATATCTTGATACTTGGGAAATTGATTATATTTACAGGTAGGGCCTACTATGCAATATTTTAGCCCGGTTTAGACGCCGTGCTTTTCATGAGCCGAACTTAATACAATGAATTAAGCACATGAGAAGCACGGCGTCTAAATCAATTAAGCACTGCACTTAATATTAAGCACGGCTAAATTAATAAGTTAAATCGCCTGGTTCAGGCGTGCTACACGGCTGAAGCACATGTTGATTTATACTGCCGTGCTTTACACGAGCCGTACCAAATGCATAAATTATGATAAAATAGAACATTTATAGTACGCGTGCGTTGATTGGTCGAGAAGCGTGTTTCTACGCGGGAAATTTCCCGCCTAAACTTACAATCGTAAACAAAACAATTGAGAATTGTTTAATACAGTCAAAATACAAAAACCTTCCCACTTCCGCTTCTGGCTTGTTTTGTATTTCTGTAATTTGTTCTATTTTTTCTGTAGTGATTTAACACCGCTTTATCGGCAAATATCGCGGTAGAATTTCCCTTTCTTTTCTTTATATACGTCAATTTGTAGTAAAAGGATACACCTTTCGTTAGCCTTTGCATAAAAGTTGCGAAATTAGGCTTATAGCGATATTTGCTGATAAAGGCAAAAAGGGTTTCTTGCAGTAAATTGATGGAGTAAAGGTCGGCATTATTACGCAATGAGAATTTGTAAATATATCGAGTCTACTACAAATCTTTTTTTTAGTTATATTAAGAAATAAATATAAAGTATTTATTATGTATGACCCATACAGTTATAGAAACACTTGTAGTAGTTGGGGAGAACTCGAATAACGTGGAAAAACTCCCCCTAAGCCTATATAGGTCTCGTTTTCCCACACATTATATCCAGGCATTATGCTATGTTTGTATAGTAATAAAATAAGGCTTTTCAAAAAGCAATTGAAATTTTTAATAACCACAAACCTGAAGACGCTCAGAAATGCCAAGATTGTATGTGATAAACCCTTTTTTCTTATTATGAATTGTCACTCGCCCCAGGTTTCGAAGTGAAGCAGCGCAAATTATTAAGTACGGCTCATGAAAAGCACGCCTGTCTAAATCAAAATTGGAAGTACGCCTATTTTACTCGAGTAAAATATGAATTAAGGCCCGGTTTAGACGCCGTGCTTTTCATGAGCCGAACTTAATTCATATTTTACTCGAGTAAAATAGGCGTACTTCCAATTTTGATTTAGACAGGCGTGCTTTTCATGAGCCGTACTTAAAAATTTGCGCTGCTTCACTTCGAAACCTGGGGCGAGTGACAATTCATAATAAGAAAAAAGGGTTTATCACATACAATCTTGGCATTTCTGAGCGTCTTCAGGTTTGTGGTTATTAAAAATTTCAATTGCTTTTTGAAAAGCCTTATTTTATTACTATACAAACATAGCATAATGCCTGGATATAATGTGTGGGAAAACGAGACCTATATAGGCTTAGGGGGAGTTTTTCCACGTTATTCGAGTTCTCCCCAACTACTACAAGTGTTTCTATAACTGTATGGGTCATACATAATAAATACTTTATATTTATTTCTTAATATAACTAAAAAAAAGATTTGTAGTAGACTCGATATATTTACAAATTCTCATTGCGTAATAATGCCGACCTTTACTCCATCAATTTACTGCAAGAAACCCTTTTTGCCTTTATCAGCAAATATCGCTATAAGCCTAATTTCGCAACTTTTATGCAAAGGCTAACGAAAGGTGTATCCTTTGCTACAAATTGACGTATATAAAGAAAAGAAAGGGAAATTCTACCGCGATATTTGCCGATAAAGCGGTATTAAATCACTACAGAAAAAATAGAACAAATTACAGAAATACAAAACAAGCCAGAAGCGGAAGTGGGAAGGTTTTTGTATTTTGACTGTATTAAACAATTCTTAATTGTTTTGTTTACGATTGTAAGTTTAGGCGGGAAATTTCCCGCGTAGAAACACGCTTCTCGACCAATCAACGCACGCGTACTATAAATGTTCTATTTTATCATAATTTATGCATTTGGTACGGCTCATGTAAAGCACGGCAGTATAAATCAACATGTGCTTCAGCCGTGTAGCACGCCTGAACCAGGCGAACTTATTAATTTAGCCGTGCTTAATATTAAGTGCAGTGCTTAATTGATTTAGACGCCGTGCTTCTCATGTGCTTAATTCATTGTATTAAGTTTGGCTCATGAAAAGCACGGCGTCTAAACCGGGCCTAAAGGTCTTGAGCTTTTTGGATATTTATTTGAAATGGTATACTCTTCAACTGACCTGGATTTAATTAAGTTCTTGACTGTTGGCTAGTGAGTTTGACTAATGGTCGCGTGTAAAAAGACGCGGGTCGCGGGTCGTAAAAAGCTCCAAACCGTGTATTTTATTGAGTCGCGGGTTGAATGAAATGTGTAAAACTCACATAATTTAGTTATTTAATGGTTCTTATCAATAGTATTATTCAATATTAACGTATATATGCCATGTATATTGTTGGATCATTTTTTGTCTATACGTAGCGTAGTATTTTCTCTATAAAGCCTCCCCCTGCAGTGGAGGGGGTATTACAGAAAAAACAAGCTCCTGGGCATGCAGGATTAACTCGTGCCAGGTAGTAAACAACAATTTTGAAAGATCAAGGCTATACATACAGTATCATTTCGAGGGTCAAGAGTTAAATTTAATACTCCAGTACTCTTCGCTATCCTGTCATATGCATCCTATGGTATTACGTTACATTTATAATGTCTGTACACGATGAATGCGGGGTTTTTTCATTTCGGCCTTTTTAATTCGGAAGAATTTGCATTTACAATTATAATATTTCCAATTGCGTTGTGTAATACGTTCAGTAGGAGTCAAGTTAAATGTTTATCTTAGCTGTTGTACTGAATCGAGTTAGCTAATTCAAAATGTTATATTACACATGCACTGTACCATAAAATATTCCTGTCCGTTGTACTAGCTAAATGATTTCCTTTAGAAAGGAATTGTCTTTACGGTAACAGGCACTTCATGTCATTCATATAACCCACCGGGTTTCACTATAGCACCTTTACCAATATTCCGATTATAACTTATCTGTGGTCTTACACTACCATGTATATCAACACAGTGGTTGTGGTATGTCTTTAAGTATTGACATGGATTAAGAGGTTTCTTTTTCATCCGGTTTTTTAGTATCCAAATCATTCTGTTATCCGACCCCATGACATGCATGTTATAATTGAACTCGGCCAGAACAGAATCATCTAAAGGTTGTGTAAGCACAAAAATATAGGTATCGTGTGAACCGACATAGCTTACTCCACAATATCCACGTTTTCCGCCCATATTGCATCTTTTTTCCTGACGTCCATGGCGTGTCAAGGCGTAAGATATATTACTTTTTACCAGAAATGTTTTATTTATCATTTCAAATCCTTCGCCAAGATAAATATCCATATTCGTTATAACCACAAACTGATTTTGGAGTCTGTCGTTTACGTAATCGAAAAAATCTCTGTATTTAGGCAAGGCGTTGATGCGATGTACAAATATTTTGTGTTTGTTGTGAAAATTTTGTTCGCTCAATCTTTGTTCGGCTGATGGTTGATTAACGAGAAGATGAACAGCTGTGACTAAAGGGTGGTTGAGATTTTTCTGTAGTGTTTCTTCTATCTCTTCCTGTCGTTGCCATAGTCTGGATCTGTTGGTTTCTGTTTGGCTTTCGTTCCAAGGTTTTTCAGTCATCAGTGGATAGTTAGTTATTACATGGATTCCTGATTCCTCCTTCTGAGGTGGGACGTTATAACGGTTATTCAAAACAGCTTTTAGCCAGGCAAAGCCGTATAAGGTAAAGATTGCTCCAGAAACCAAAAATAACTTGAAGCACACTTTCCGCCGTTTAAGTATGCCCATTCCTTGCAAGATTCAGGATAATTACTAGGGACGTATTGGTTTGATTTACCAAGTAAAGACTTATGATCCTTTTCTTCAAGATCTATCTTTCACATCAGCCTAAATATACATTATGAATTTTTTAATACAAATTAAATATTAACCTTCTAAAATTAGTTCTGTTTTCTTATTTCAGTACGTTGATTCAGTTATATTTATATACTGTCCGAATATTTGTTCCTAGACCGCGAGCAGTCAGAAAAAAGAAGGGACCGCCGACAGCACAAGAAACGAAATACGCCCACTTTTTGCTCTTGTCAAGTCGGCTCCGCCTTTTCATATACATTACTTATATCCAATTAAATCTATCCAATAGGAACCGTTAATCTTATGTTTATTTATAAAATCAACATTAAGTCTGGAAATTATTTATAGCATAATTACTACCATTCCCGTACCCAGAGCCCTTCTTACGCGCGGTCAACGGAGCGAGACGTTTTACTGCTTGTTTTCAAATTCCATAACAGAACTGAAAGAAGGAAAAAAGCCAGGATACTTAACGTCTAAGCACTGACACTGGTCTGCGTAAAATATGGCAAAGCAAGTGAGCTCGGTGTACGTCAATCAGAGCAAAAGAAATCATAAGTAATTTTTCTATGTTCACTTTAATTAACCACCCCGAAGTTGATGAAAAAAGACCACCAAGTATACAAAGTTTAAAGACGTTCACATGAATACCCTTCGAATAATAAATATTGTGAAATTACTGATTAAAAGATTACAATACATTTCATAGTAAATATTACGATTTTCGAAAGCTTATTATTCGAAGGATATTCATATAAAAATCTTCAAACTTCGTATACTTACTAATTTTAAGTTGGTCTTTTTAGTGATTTGGTTCATTTCTTAATTTGGGTACTTTTTAACACTCGTCCCCAGTCCACTCGTCAACTTCGGAATGGCTAATAGTGTCAAAAAAGACTTCCCATGCAACGGTATTTGTCCATTTCTAACATCGCAATCTCTTTCATCTCAAACACACATTGTTTTGTATCAAATTTTGACTTTATCCGCCGGATAGTGGATTTAAACTACCTCCGGGCCTCGGATAAATTTATCTAACGGATAGTGCATTTTTATCCGTTCGATAAAGCTAATAAAGTTTCGTACAACGCGATTTTCACTCCGGTTAAAATTTATCCTCTGGATAGCGACTTTTTTCTCGTTTTTTTTTTATAAGTAATTTATGAGGAAAGCCCCTCGACCGAAAGGTGCTTTCCAAGGAGGTTCTCTATTAGAGGTGCGCATTGGATCGGATTGGACGTTTATAATCCGACAATTGGCTAATGTTTAAAATCCAATCCGATCAGAAATTGTCTAATCCGAATCCGATCCGAGTTTTGATAAAGAATTCCGATCCGAAGAATCCTTTAATAAAATAAATTTCTCATTCAAGTGGAAATATTTAACCAAATAAATATAAAAGCAAGAAATACACGTCAAGAAGCTGACAAAGTGACGTCCAATTGAAGTATCAAACAAATAATGCAGCGACAACCGCGTTGTCGTTGATAGTTAATTCATTTTATTTCGAATATTAACGAAGTCCGATCTGATCCGACTACGAAACAACTTTATCAATCCTATCCAATCCGTAATGAATATTTTTGTTCCGAAATCCGAACGAATCGGATCGGATTTGCACACCTCTAGCAGCAGACATATATACATTTTCACGTTTGTTTAGGTAAGGTATGGGTCATCTGTAGCGGACATGCGCAGTAACAGTGAGATTGAGACAGCATGTTGAGATTCTAGTTTTGGGTTGTTTTTCGACTGATTTTACGTGTAATAACTTTTATTAAATTGTTATAATACAATTCGTCGTATTGTTATTACACTGGTGGCAGTTATGGGATCGAACAAGACGGTTCTTCCGGAAAACAAGTTCTCAGGAGAGGAGGATATTCGAGAATTTCTACGCGATTTTGAAATATTTGTTGCTGTGAAGGAATGGTCGGATGTGAAAGCTGGGCAATATTTGGCAGTGTTTTTGAAACTAAATTGAAAGATGATGCGAAGGCATTTTGTCATCAACAATAATCGGACACGGTAAGGAAGAGTTACAAAGAGCTTTCACAGGCTTTGAAAGAGAGATACGAGGGGGAACTTGGCGTTGTTAAAGTATAAGAAAGAATTTAATGCCAGAAATAGAAAGGACGGTGAGACATTACATTCTTATTTGTCGGATTTGAGATTGTCGTACGAAAGAGCATACAGCCTACCTATAGTAGATCCATTGCCTGTGGATGCAAATGCAGATCGGAAAATAGAGCATGCCCAGCAAGAAAGAGCTTTAGTTTTTTACAACAGAAGAAAAGATGAGGATATATTATGCCAATTTGTAAATGGATTGGGGAAAGAGCTGAGAGAAGTTTTGATACGTCAAGATGATTTACTCAAGAAATCTGTGGAAAGCGTCCTTAAGCAAATATCCACCTTGGAGGAAGAACAAGGTGTTACCAGAAAAATTTCTGCTGCACAGAGAGCAGGAAAACTGCAGAGTCATGTGGACGGTGCACAAAATGTAGAAGAAGTGGCACACCAACAACCCAGTCTGGAAAACAAATTAGATTAAATCCTCAAAAATCAGCGTACATTCCAAGTTGCAGGGAAACAGAGTCCAGGGAAACAGAGTCCTGGTCCCAAACCCTCCGATATCTGCAGGGCATGTAACGGTCGTGGACATTGGGCACGCAACTGTCCTTCTTTAAATGAAGGAGGGGCTGGCCGCAGACCCCCGGTTCAGCCCTAAAGAGTCAGAAAGGGGTCATGTACCCATATAGATGCCCCATGCAACAAACTAAGATTAATACAGTACAGACCACCAGAGCACAAAGGGGAAGCTATCATGTGGAAGGAATTGTGAATGGGCTCAGAACAAATTTTCTGGTAGACACTGGGGCAGAAGTTAGTTTAATTTGTGCAACTGTTCCAAGTTCAGAAGTTAGAGAATCCTGCATAACACCAGTTTCAATAACCAACCAACCTATTACAATTCAAGGTGAAACTGACGTGAATCTTAGTTTAGGGTCGTTATATAAAAATTAGTTGGAAATTTTTGGTTGTGGACAACCTTAAAGAGTCGTTTTGGGAGCAGACTTTATAGAAAGTCATTATATTACTTCATGGGGTATTGCAGATAACAAATTGCGGCTTGATGACGTAGGGATACCACTAATGGGCATCAAAAACGTTGGTATGGTGAGAGATGACAACCACTCACCAGTGGTAGCCAAATGCACTGTGGAACTACCAACTCTAGTTCATGCATTTATAACATCACGGCTTGACTATGGTAACTCTTCTTACTATGGACTACCTAAGCGGCTGATCCAAAAACTTCAAAGTGTGCAAAATTCAGCGGCTAGATTGGTAAACTTATCTAAACGATATGATCATATCTCACCAATTTTGAGGGAATTGCATTGGTTGCCTGTGGAACAACGAATCAATTTTAAAATTATTCTCTTAACTTTCAAGTGTTTGCATGACATGGCACCATTGTATTTAAAAGAATTAGTTAGACCATATGAACCAAAAAGAACGTTAAGATCATCCTCAAAGAACCTTGTTGATACAACTAATTTTAATCTACGTACATATGGTTTTAGAACGTTTTCTGTTTCAGCTCCAACATTGTGGAGTGCATTACCAGACAGAATACGGAACTGTCATAATATTGAAATTTTTAAGAAACTTCTTAAGACACATCTTTTTAGCATAGTTTTTAATTAGTTATTTTGTAAGATCTCCTCTTAGTTCTTAGTTAGGTTACATATCTTGTAAAGCGCTAATGGACTTTAGGGAATTGGCGCTATATAAATAATTCGTATTATTATTATTATTATTATTAACTACCAGCTCGGCACCAAGCAATAATCCCCATGCATACTAAAGATAAGAGTCGTAAAAGTGGTTTATTTGAACCAACTAAAACACCAGGTGGAGTATTATTGAGCAAAACAGCAGTAGAAGGAGGAAAAGATGGAAGTTTTTGGGTTCGAGCTGTAAATTTGACTTCTAATGCGGGATCATTTCAGAGATCGAGGACATGTCAGAACCACTTCATCTTAATCCAAGGGAAGATTCTATAAAATCAACACTAACTTCGTCAATTGTAATGTGATTGTAATGTATTCATGCATCTGTAAAATCATGCATAGTCTTTCCTCGACATATATTAGATTATGCATTATCAAAATTTTT